CTTTTGCACAGCCACTATCCTGACATGTGGGTAAGCACATGCAGCCCCAGGGAAAGTTAAGTTTAACCCCTTAAGGACGGAGCCAAATGTACACATTGTGAACAAAACAAAATGTAAACAAAACCTGGCATTTGCGCTACATGTCTGTCCAACCGTAATACACCTCTTTCATAGTAAATACACCCACCCTTATTATATATCATTTTATTCAGGGGAAACAGGGCTTTCATTTAATATCAAATATTTAACTATGAAACATAATTTAATATGAAAAAAATGGGAGAAAATAAGATTTTTTTAGTTCTACATGACATTTTAACGGTCAATGTCATAATACTGTTTGCTTTTACTGCAATAAAATACACATATTTATATTCAGTAAAGTCTCATGTGTAAGACAGTACCCCCTATGTACAGGTTTTATGGCGTTTTGGGAAGTTACAGGGTCAAATATAGCGCGTTACATTTGAAATTGAAATTCGCCAGATTGGTTACGTTGCCTTTGAGACTGTATAGTAGCCCAGGAATGAAATTTACACCCATAATGGCATACCATTTGCAATAGTAGACAACCCAAGGTATTGCAAATGGGGTATGTCCAGTCTTTTTTAGTAGCCATTTGGTCACAAACACTGGCCAAAGTTAGCGTTAGTATCTGTTTGTGTGAAAAATGCAAAAAATGCCAATTTTGGCCAGTGTTTGTGACTAAGTGGCTACTAAAAAAGACTGGACATACCCTGTTTGCAATACCTTGGGTTGTCTACTATTGCAAATGGTATGCCATCATAGGGGTAATTTTCATTCTTGGGCTACCATAGGGTCTCAAAGGCAACATAACCAATCTGGCGAATTTTAATGTGAAAAAAATGAAATGCAAAGCCTTATATTTGACGCTGTAACTTTTGAAAACACCATAAAACCTGTACATGAGGGGTACTGTTGTACTCGGGAGACTTCGCTGAACACAAATATTTGTGTTTCAAAACAGTAAAAAGTATCACAGCAATAATATTGTCCGTGTAATGCTGTTTGTGCGTGAAAAATGCAAAAAACGTCACTTTTACTGGCGATATCATCGTTGTAATACATTTTACTGTTTTGAAACACTAATATTTGTGTTCAATGAGATCTCCCAGTAGAACAATTACCCCCATGTACAGGTTTTATGAATTTGTCTCGGAAAGTTATAGGGTTAAATATAGTGCTATGGAAATTAAATTCCTTTACTTTAGAGGCGCCCAAGGTTTAATCCAGGCAAGGTCACATAACTAATTGTAATTAATTAAGATACCTAATTGTAAAAATATTACATAAATATATGTAGAATTAATATATGTATATATCTATATAATTTTTTAAATATTTTTTTATTTATATATAGGTATATATATATGTATATATATATATATATATGTATATGAATATATATATGTATATATATATATATATGTATATATATATATATATATATATATATATATATATATATATATATATATATATATATATATATATATATTAATATCCCAATACAGTTAGAATGAAATAACACATCTATATATTTTTTAATTATTTATTTTTAATTATTTTAATTTTATTTTTTAACGTAGTTACATATTTATTTATTTTTATATTATATATATATATATATACAACAATTATACTTATATATTTAATCAGTATCAGTCTACGTGTAATTTGATATTAATATATATATATATTTATATATATATTAATAGTAAAACCACCTAGGCATTAACAATATTATTATTAATATGTACATGGCGTCTTGCGGGGTGTGCGGGTATTACTGGGCACCTAATCGTCGCACGCCTATGGTTTGAGTCCTGCAGGAACAGCGTTCCTGCACTCTTTTGAGCAGGAACGCTGTTCCTGCAGGCACTCAGTGTCCCCCGTCTCACCTCTTGCCACTGTCATGGGAGGGCAAGAGGTGATGATTCCCCCCCCCCACCCTGCAGCTCAGCGCGCGGCGAGGGAGCTCTCTGCTCTCTGCTTCCTCTCGCCGCGCGCTGATGCCGGGAGCCGGAATATGACGTCATATTCCGGCTCCCAGCTGCAGCAGACAGCCCGCGCGGCGAGAGGGAGCAGACAGCAGAGAGCTCCCTCGCCGCGGCTGAACTGCGGAAAGGCGCCCGCCCCCACTGGACCCCAGGGAAAAGTCCACCAGCACTCCAGGTAGGAAGCTGGGTGGACATTTTTTTTTTAAATTAAAATATAATAATTTGTGTGTGTGTGTGTCAGTGTGTCTGTGAGTGTGTGAGTATGTGTCAGTGTGAGTGTGTGTCTGTGAGTGTGTGTCAGTGGTGGTTGGGTGGGTGGGTTCGGGTGGGTCTGTGTGGTGTGTGTCTGTGAGTGTGTCTGTGAGTGTGAGTGTGTGTCTGTGAGTGTGTGAGTATGTGTGTGTCTGTGAGGTGTGGTGTGTGTGTCTGTGGTGTGGGTATGTGTGTGTCAGTGTGTGTGGGTGTGTGTCTGTGGTGTGTCTGTGAGTGTGTGAGTATGTGTCTGTGGTGTGTGTCAGTGTGTGTCTGTAAGTGTGTGAGTATGTGTCTGTGGTGTGTGTGTCAGTGAGTGTGTGAGAATATGTCTGTGTGTGTGTGTGAGTGTGTGTGTGTGTCTGTGAGTGTGTGAGTATGTGTCTGTGAGTGTGTGTGTCAGTGAGTGTGTGAGTATGTGTCAGTGTGTGTGTCAGTGTGTGTCTGTGAGTGTGTGAGTCTGTGAGTGTGTGTCAGTGTGTGTCTGTGAGTGTGTGAGTATGTGTCTGTGAGTGTGTGTGTCTGTGAGTGTGTGAGTATGTGTGTGTCAGTGTGTGTGTCTGTGAGTGTGTGTGTGTTTCTGTGAGTGTGAGTGTGTGTCTGTGAGTGTGTGTGTCTGTGAATATATATATATACGTATATATATATATATATGTATATATATATATATATATATATATATATACACACACACACACACACACACACACACGCGCGCGGCGTGTGTTTGTGCTTTAGGGTGCACACCCTAATGCAATAGGCTGCGCACGCCTATGTGTATGTATATGTGTATATATATACTTAGATCATATATATATATTTAATATATATACAGGGAGTGCAGAATTATTAGGCAAGTTGTATTTTTGAGGATTAATTTTATTATTGAACAACAACCATGTTCTCAATGAACCCAAAAAACTCATTAATATCAAAGCTGAATATTTTTGGAAGTAGTTTTTAGTTTGTTTTTAGTTTTAGCTATGTTAGGGGGATATCTGTGTGTGCAGGTGACTATTACTGTGCATAATTATTAGGCAACTTAACAAAAAACAAATATATACCCATTTCAATTATTTATTATTACCAGTGAAACCAATATAACATCTCAACATTCACAAATATACATTTCTGACATTCAAAAACAAAACAAAAACAAATCAGTGACCAATATAGCCACCTTTCTTTGCAAGGACACTCAAAAGCCTGCCATCCATGGATTCTGTCAGTGTTTTGATCTGTTCACCATCAACATTGCGTGCAGCAGCAACCACAGCCTCCCAGACACTGTTCAGAGAGGTGTACTGTTTTCCCTCCTTGTAAATCTCACATTTGATGATGGACCACAGGTTCTCAATGGGGTTCAGATCAGGTGAACAAGGAGGCCATGTCATTAGATTTTCTTCTTTTATACCCTTTCTTGCCAGCCACGCTGTGGAGTACTTGGACGCATGTGATGGAGCATTGTCCTGCATGAAAATCATGTTTTTCTTGAAGGATGCAGACTTCTTCCTGTACCACTGCTTGAAGAAGGTGTCTTCCAGGAACTGGCAGTAGGACTGGGAGTTGAGCTTGACTCCATCCTCAACCCGAAAAGGCCCCACAAGCTCATCTTTGATGATACCAGCCCAAACCAGTACTCCACCTCCACCTTGCTGGCGTCTGAGTCGGACTGGAGCTCTCTGCCCTTTACCAATCCAGCCACGGGCCCATCCATCTGGCCCATCAAGACTCACTCTCATTTCATCAGTCCATAAAACCTTAGATAAATCAGTCTTGAGATATTTCTTGGCCCAGTCTTGACGTTTCAGCTTGTGTGTCTTGTGTGTGGTCGTCTTTCAGCCTTTCTTACCTTGGCCATGTCTCTGAGTACTGCACACCTTGTGCTTTTGGGCACTCCAGTGATGTTGCAGCTCTGAAATATGGCCAAACTGGTGGCAAGTGGCATCGTGGCAGCTGCACGCTTGACTTTTCTCAGTTCATGGGCAGTTATTTTGCGCCTTGGTTTTTCCACACGCTTCTTGCGACCCTGTTGACTATTTTGAATGAAACGCTTGATTGTTCGATGATCACGCTTCAGAAGCTTTGCAATTTTAAGAGTGCTGCATCCCTCTGCAAGATATCTCACTATTTTTGACTTTTCTGAGCCTGTCAAGTCCTTCTTTTGACCCATTTTGCCAAAGGAAAGGAAGTTGCCTAATAATTATGCACACCTGATATAGGGTGTTGATGTCATTAGACCACACCCCTTCTCATTACAGAGATGCACATCACCTAATATGCTTAATTGGTAGTAGGCTTTCGAGCCTATACAGCTTGGAGTAAGACAACATGCATAAAGAGGATGATGTGGTCAAAATACTCATTTGCCTAACAATTCTGCACTCCCTGTATATGATCTAAGTATATATAATTATTTTTTTTTACACCATTAACTTATTTTTATTTTATTTTCAGCCAGCAGGGGGACCACCTGTCATTACAGGCAGCCCCCCTGCCGGCAATACAGAAGCCAGCTATCCCCGGCCATGTGATTGTGGGGTCCTCGCTAGGACCCCACTCTCACATGGCCGGGGGGCTTCGACGAGGATGGACGTGCCGCGGGGGGCTCCCTGGGAGTCCCCCCAACCGCGATCGCCGGCGTGGGACCGCCGGCGACCGGGTAAGTTAACAAAAACCGGAGGGCGTACAATTACGCCCGGCGGCGTTTAGAGCCGCCTATTAGAGGGCGTAATTGTACGTCCTCCGGTTTTAAGGGGTTAAAAATCCTAGAAGAACCTGACAGTTCCCTATTAAATATAAATTTAAAAAGTATTTATTTTAACATATTGCATCAAGTGTTATCAAAGGTTGTATACCATTTCCAAATGTCACTTTTGCCAAATTCTGGACCAGGGTATGTAAGAACAGAGTTGAGACATTATATTGGCCAAGGTTGCTGGGAGTTGCTGTCCAAGAGCTGCTAGAAGGCAGAGATTAAAATATGTAAATGTACACATATATATGTGTGTATCTGGCTGTGTTTATGTCCTTGTGTGTATCTGGCTGTGTTTGTCTGTGTGTCAGTGTTTCTGTGTGTATGTATACCTCATACACCTGTATGTGCACCTGTGTGTGTGTTTCGGTGTGTGTGTAAGTGTGCATCTGAGTGTGTGGTAATGCATACATCCCAGCATTTTAATGCCAACACAAATACACTCCATCTCTAGCACTGTACACATATACACCCCTGCATTTATACCTTTATGTATGTGTGTATCTGAGTGTGTGTGTATATACCTGTGTCAGTGTGTGTGTGTATATACCTGTGTCAGTGTGTGTGTGTATGTGTATGTGCCAGTGTGTGTATATCAAAGTGCTTGTATCTGTGTGTCAAAGGGTGTGTATCTGAGTGTGTGTGTGTGTGTGTGTATGTGCCAGTATGTGTCAAGGTGTGAGCATGTGTCAGTGTGAGCATGTGTGTATCTGCGTGTTAATGTGTATGTGTATATGTGTTATAGAAATCACACAACATGCAAACAGACCCCTGCAAACACAAACATTACAAACACACCAGTTTGCTGAAACACTAATACTACACACAAATGTACACATGTATTTAAAAGACAACACTACATCCAAACGCCCCCCTGCATGCAAATACAAACATTACATGCAAACACATTCCTGTATTAAAACGCTAAAATTATATACAAACACCAACTCTACACACAAAAGTACACCTGCATTTAAAAGCCAACACTACAAACAATCACACATCCCTGCATTAAAATGCAAACACTACACACAAGTACACCACTGCATTCCAATGGTAACAGTACATACAAATACACTCCTACATGCACATATACACTCTATACAATAACATGCTGACATTCATTTGCACAAACACTGCTCAAAAATACAACCCTGCAAGGATGGTAGATCCCCAGCTGGCATAGCATCGCAGGAGTTGTATGACAGATGGGGATCTATCTTTTCTTTACTCTTGTGCTACAGGGCAGGCCTGAATTTTTTTGTTGTTGCACCAAGGCACTCTCTACATTAGTTTTGCCTCTAGGTTGGGGTGGAGGGAGTGATTGCATGCCCAGGGGGCCCAAACAGATGCTTGCCCGGGGTCCAATCAATATTAAAGACGGCCCTGGAGCCGGCGCTCGGATAGCTCCGACTCTGCATGAGCCGACAGGGGAGATCCTGAGATCTCCCCTGCCGGTCTCAATCCATAGGCGGGCCGCAGGGATTAGGGTTTAAATTCCTTTCAATAAAGACCATAGCCTTACTTCAAACTTTAGATTCTATGTAATTATTAAGTTTCCATATCATAACACATAATTTCTCATAGATTTTATGAGGTGTGGAAAATTCATACGCCCTTTTTGTTGCCAAAATCAAGTATACTTTACCATGAAATCAGAGTTTTGTGACATGTTTAAATCAGTTGTTTGTATCCACTATTATGGTGCAAGTTTAGTGGTGAGGGAGCCTTGTGTTTAAAATTAAATGCGTGTTTTCTTCTATCGTTTTTCTGTTGCTTGGTGCTTGAACAGCACGTTTGTCTAATGTAAACAGTGTAAGGTTGCTGTACAACTAATAAAGCTGGATGCCAAAAGTTCTTTAAAATGAACACTAACTTTACGGAATATTCATCATCCTCAATATTTATATTCCTGCCATTCTAAAGCTATACAGAATGCAGCAAGCCCAGCCACTAGTAATATTGGTCATAAAAATCATGAATAAAACTACTCTTGCAAATTAATTTCAGCTACCTCCTTGCTTTGTAAAGGGACACTACAAGGTGCATAACAACTCATTGCTAGCTTTATAGGGCTAGGAAGTCCACTGTCCCTGAATTCTTGCAGATTGTCTTATTTAAAAAAAAATAATAATAGTTGTAGCTATAAATTTGGCACTAAAATAAATATCCCAATATATTAAAAAAGTGTATAAGAAAAGCAGTACCAATAAAGTGCAATAGCCCATAAACTACCGTCAATCAGAGGATCACATTATCATGCCTATTATGTCATTACGCAAACCCTTCCTGCATGAGTTGGTGTCTGAACAAGGATTGTTTGATGCTCACTGGGGAGGACTCGTTTCTGTAAAGAATACAGAAGGGGTTGTTTCTTTGCCCTATTTTATGTGATTGAATAACGTTTCTACGAACACATGCTGTTTACTTGAAGCCTTATTACCTCAGTTCCACATAGTGGAGTTTTGGAGCAACTACAGTTAGTGCACACTATACTGCTCTCCACTTGTGAGTGATTGTCTATTAATCATTTGGTAACTTTATTATATTTAAACGGTATTACACTATAGTGTTTTCTTCTTTTTTTGCTTTTTACATATGTTACCATAAATGTAACTGCCAAATTGAATCAATTTGAGAAGATTTGTTACATGCTGTAAGTGCAATTTTTATTGTAATTTTGTACGCTTTAAAATACACTGCACATTTAACTATTTGCACTTTATTTCAGATATATTTGCACATACTATTTCATGCACTTTATTAGTAGCACACTTTGTATCATTTTGTTGCACTTTATCAGGGTTATTCACAAAAGTCCGAATGTCACTTCTCTCGAGACTTAGCTGATTGGTTTACTAGCTGTTTTTTTTTTTAGATTTTTCCTCACTATTATTAGGGATGGGGGTTATGTAGGGACTTTATTTTATGGGGGTGCAACAAGTAAACTCACGGGGGGAGGAGGGGACGATGACTGTGTCCTTTATAGAAAGCAATAAAATGAATG